AAACACACAAGTAAATGATTTTAAAAACAGTATTCTTATCTTTATTTTTCAGAAACAGTCTTTCTGTAAAAAATAAACAAAAAAGTTTATTACCTACATCAATAAGTAGACATTTATCAAAATAACAAAAATAAAATTAAGAAAAATAAGATGCATACCTAGTAAAATTAAAATTTAGGAGAGATTCTTTTCTTGCTGTCGTGCCAGTACTTTTTCTTTTCTTTGAAAGACCAATTGAACGACATTTACTGAGTTTATCTAAAAGCAAGAATAAATCGGGGGAAGTCTTTGAATAAAGCATTTAATAGTATAACATAATGAACAAATTAAAATAATTTTAAAAAGAAAAATAGTTAAAAGATTAATTTTAACATTTATGTTTGCTTAAACTTAAAAAATGACATTATTTGGTTTTATGAGCAGAAACAGTAACTTATGATGCTAATGATTAGGAAGAAAATAAGGATTTGCTACAGTTTAGAGAGAACGCCCCAAACATCACATTTGATGTTAATGCATCAGTTGAGAAAAACATTGAAAACTTGTGAAGTTGTTGAATCAAGAAATGGTAGCAGAAGTTGAGGAAGAGCAAAGTGATACCGATATAGACAGCAAAATGGATCTACAACCATTTGCGGAAGGCCTCAAAGCCTTGGGAACTTTCTGCATTCATACAAACATACAGAAAATGAACAGCAGTTACAAATGTCAAAAATTAATTGTTTGTGCTAAAGAAAAAAATGAGTATCTTCAAACTAAAATTGCCTATATTTTAAATAAATAAATCAGTTCACTCATCTTTCTTTTGCATCATATTATTTTTACAGTAAGCACACAATTTTTCAATTAAATTTTTTAATGCTTATTGAAAATTTAACTATTTTCAAGTTCAGTTAATCTTTTCTACCTTTTATATGCTTTCAAATCATTATTTTATTGTTTTATGTGACCTGCATTCGTCCTTTTCTCGATTCCATTTTTCGCAATAAATGGTTTTATGAGAAACAAACAGTTGATCAAGATTCTACTGTATTATCACATTAAAGAATTACTGTCTACAGCAAGCAAAACTAAATTATGAAAAGCAAGTAGAAAAACATTTTCTTAAATAATAGTTTATAGTTGACAAACGAAATAAAAAAATATTTTACAAACACTTACTATTTAAACTGGAATGTTTTGTATTCTTCTTAACATCAGTATTGGGTGAGGATTTTCCTTCAATAGGATCAGGATCATCACTGTTTCACTTAAAATAGTTATCACAGAATCATCTTGAGATGCATCACTAAGTTTCTGATTGTCACTTATATTTAAGAAATAAGGTGATATTTCCTTCAAGGGACTTTTCTCCACACTGTCTGTCTTTGGAGAATCTTCTATACTTTTTTGACAACTTTTATCAGCTTCAGTTGCTTTTGGAGGGCTTTCTTCTTTCGTCCATTTGTAATCTTCTATTTTAGTGGTGATTAGTTTATTCTTTTTGCAGAATAAGTTCCTTGGTTTTAGTTTTACTACAGATACTTCTGCAGTTTGGGACAATATTTTGGCAGATTTTTGCATGGATGAAATGGTGGAAGTGGCTATAGTTGATTCTGAGCTGAAAATGTCTAATACCGATGCTTTTTTATCGTTAGGTGTTTTTGGAATATCCTTATCTTTATCCTCACTCAGCACTGGACTAACTTCAGTAGGTTTCTTTTTGGCAAACCTTGAAAAAAAAAAAAACATTTTTGTTAAATAGTTACATTTTCTGACTAAGCATAAATTACCAATTTAAAAATTAATATATTTAACTCAATCTATCTCTAACCTAAATATTGATGCAAAAAGTTTCATTTATTCAATAAAAGATATTTTTAATGTAATGTTTTAATTTTCAAAAAAAATTTTTTATATGAAATTTACCCTTTATGCAATTTAGAAATATCTTACATCCTTTTTATTCATAACTTAGTGGATATGTAGGGTCTTTATTGTTAAACATATGGAGCTTTACCATGAACTTAATGGGAAAATTATTTAGCAAGCTTATGCATATGGATTTTAAGACAGATTGTAAAAAGAAAAACTATTTTTCAAATTCAAAATTCTTTTAATAAATTAAATTCTAGCTATTTCTTTTATTAAATCAAATTCTTCAATTAATGTAAATAAATTAAGCTTTAATGTATTTAAATAAAATTATGGGGGTTAACATGGTTAGAAAAAATTTACCACTTTTAATTATAAATAGATTATTTCTAAACATAGGTTGAAGGTTCCTCCTTAAATGAGTTATTAGTAGCTTGTTACGATTTTTAAAGGTTGAACTTTATGCTACATAAATATATCAAATACAACAAAAAAGAGAAAAATGAACATCATTTCAATTTAATTCCTTTTTGCAATCTAATCTATTTTTTGTTTATGAAGTAAACATAGGTAGGAAACTATAAGTTATTTTCCTCTTTACAAAAAAATTTTTACTTTCAGGAATCCCGCAGGGTACTTCAAAAGAATAATTTTTTATTACTTAATTAAAATTTTTTTAGCTTTATCTAATATGCTTCTTAACTTCCCTTCTTGGCAACTTAATACTGAAATCAACATACAGTGTTATCAAAGAAATCAAAAGCTATTACACTTGGTTTAAATTTTTCTTGCAATTTTGCAACTTGTAGCTATGAACTTGTTCAATTTTCAATGCCAGTTGAAGTCTAGTGTGAGGCAGAGCATATAGTGCCAATAAAAGAAAACACAAAGGTATAATAATTAATACAAAACGTCCACATTTTATTTTGAATGTGAAAATATTGCAATTTTAATAGGAAAACTTGATCCCAAAGCAAAAAATATAAATAAGGGGGAAACATATATGAACAACTATACTATGTTCTAAGAATGTAAATGGAAAGATACTTTTTAAAAAACAAATATAATACCTATTGATTAAATTTTCTTTATTACTTCGAGCAGACTCATCTAATAGATTTGCATCTCTTTCTGGTTCAGCTGGTGAAGTCAGGACATGAATTGAGGAATCAGATGCTAATGAATTAGATAAAAAATCTTCATTGATGCTGTTATTGGTAGATGAAGGAGAAGAAAAGTATCCAGAAGAACTTTCTTTACTGCTTGGCACAGACCCAAGTGAAAAGAACCTTAAAAAAGTACATTATTTTATTAATTAATTTAAAATACGAACTCATAAACACGGATAAAAAGAAAGAAAAAAAATTCGAAAATTAGGAAATATTTTTGGACAGAACACTCAGATTGGAATTTAAAAAACTATTGCTAGCAATAAATACAGTAGAAGATCTGTCGATTATAAATACTTAAAGGCATACTTTTGTGTCAAAACTACTTGTATTCAAAATTATTTTAAAATATGAACATTGATTTTTTTCAGATATATGTTGCCATGATTAGTAGTTAAGTTAAATGACATGTGAAATTATCAATATAACACTATAACACAATATTCTATAAAATGCAAAGATTAATTTTTCAAATTTTAGGTTAAGATTTTCCATTGGGGAAGCACAACTATGGATTATATTAATCCACTGGTGGTTTAGTGAATAGGCAAAATTGAGAGAATGTTCCTCCCCTATACACTATTTCTCCATCTATTAACGTGTAAAAACAGGTTTTGCTATGTTTAGAAAACTTCAGGTTAAAATGCTACTTTTTACGTGCAGAACCGTCAGTGGGTTAAGCTCGAGTTTTAAATAAGCTGTTATCATATTTTGCTAAAAACTTGTAAAATAATATTTCAGAAATTTTTTTTTTTTATAATTCTCATTTTTAAAAGGTTGAATTCAGAATGCAATGTGTTTTAATCACCATTTTTAATATAGATTTTAAAAATGATACACAAAATTTTAATGCCTGTCCTGCAGATTATAGAACCATGGTGGCTCAAGGGATAGAGCATTCCTCTCAATGAGATGACCCAGGCTCGAATCCCAGCAGTGGCTGGTTGATACGGATCCTGCTCCTACTTCGCACCATCTAAAACTGTACAGATATAAAAATATCCTCAATGGTAGAGAGATCATGAGTTAGAATAGTCGAGCTGACAGTGGGTGGTTTTCCTTCTCATGTAATATAAATCCATCAAAAAGTACTCCACAGAGGTTGAATGTCTTAATGTTTGATCCAGAAGTTCTTCTGAGTAGGACTCAAAAATACATGGCTGCAGAATTGAACATTGAGAGTTTACTCAGAAATGGGTAAGATGTTAAACGTCAGTTATAAAATAAAATAATATATTGCAGATAAAAATTGGTCTTTAAGCAGAAATTTTTAAACAAATAAAGTCACTTTAATTTCTACCAAATTTTTTTATTTAATAATAGTACTCAAGTCCATCAATAGATCCCTACACTAAAAAACCTCATAATAGCTAAAAAAAGATTTCACATTTAATAAAGGACAAAAACAACAATTAGAGAAAGTTAATTGAAAGAAAAATGTCACATGTTTGAAAGAAAAAAGCAAAGAAAATTTTTGAGGAAAAAGAAAGTACTAAAATCTGTTATTAGTACAGGAAAACTTACAAGACAACATACTTTCTATCACTAAGAATCGATTTTGGGGAAGAATCTTTTCAATTAAATATGACTCTAATGCATAACATTAAAATAAAGGTTTCTTTTGTATAAATTAGATGCTGATATTTTGTCCAATCAGCTACAACATCTTATACCACTATTTTCTTCAGACCAAATACCTTGAAATGGATTAGAAAAAAATTACTAAAAATTTGAACTGAAGTTTAAAAATTGCAGCTTTAAAATATAAAACATTAATTCACATAAAATTACATTTAAAAGTGAGAAGCTTCACAAATGTGAATAATAAGTCAAAATAGTTTCAATAAAACTAAGTAAAATAAAAATAAAACATTACTGGCTTTTAACTACTTTATTGACAGAGGAGGAAGGTGAATTTTTGAATGAATCAATGTCAAATGATGGCTTTTTTTCGGAGGAAACAAAAATGGGTTCTTCTTCATATGGATCGTAAGATTTGCTTTTTTTAGCATTACCACCATACATTTCAAACAGCTCTTCCGAGGAAGGCAGATCACTCTTATTTGTATCCACTGAAAATTTAAATACTTAATTATAACAACAAATTTGTAAATATGAAATAGTTTTGAAATCAGAGTTGCTAATTTTCTAAACTAGCTATCTTATCAGTAAAGAGAAGTACAAAAAAACAAAAATATACAGAGAATTTTTATGACATTCAATTCAGCACAGTTTTAAGATACATATAAAACTTAATTCTATATAGGTATATTATATAAATGAAATTATGCATTAATTTACAATTAAATAAAAAAAAATTAACAACTAGGTAAAGGTACTAAAAAAAGTAAAGGTATTAAAAATTATACAATACTGAAGTTTTATACATGAAAAATGAAAGATTAAAAGATAAAATTGATGAAGATGAAAAATGATAAAATTAAATTTATTAGTTGGAAACTATGTCCTAGTTATTGGCTAAATTAAAACTAACTCACTTAAATTGCTACAATATGAACAAAAAAAAAATATTTTTTTTTCTTGCTCACAGCATTTTAGATTTGAGTTTATGGGCTTCTTTCTATTTTTTATTTCTTATTTCTATCTCATCGTTTTGGTTTATTGTTTTTAGAATTGTTTAAGGAGTATATATATATACATATATAAAAAAATGTAGATTAGTTGCGATGTTAAAAACCAATTTTTACACTAACTTGAGTGAATATTTTTATATCAATGGATTATACAGTCAAACCCCGCTATAGTGAACCTGCAAGGGATCGAAATTTCAGTTCATTATAACCGGGTGTTCACTATATCCGTAACGCAGGCAATTTAACTAATGGTTCCCAAACTCCTCCCTTTTATTACACATTATTCAAATAAATGGCTGAAAAATATTATGTAGTAGCAAAAAATTTGTTATTTTTCATTTCTCTTTGTCTTGCGTACAAAAAAAATTAGTAATCTTTAGCTGATGAGCAATCCTCAACATCAGTTATGGAAACACTTCCCGACTCTCAGATAATTTTTCCCGAATTTCTGTTATTCCGTTTTTTAAACCTGTCCAACCAGCTATTCGAGCACATGAAAGTAGTCTCATAAAATCACTTAGCAAATTTATCCACATTTGTCCAGATTGCGGCTTCTTCGAATGGTGAACCACTTCAGTAATGCTTCTTCAACATCCTTGTGATCTGCTTTTCGCAACTTTCTTCTGCCATCTAAATTTTTTTTCATGAGCAGAAATTATTAATTGCTTATTTTTCCATACGTTACAAACTTCAGATTTGGATAGTTTATATTCCCTGAAAATAGCAACAAAAAAAATTGAAGAAAAAAATCAGTCAAAGACAGAAAAAAGTTCATTATGTCCAACTTCCTCACTTTTACGGTTCACTATATCCACAAAAAATAACATTATGCGTGTATAGTAAGGCACGGGGCCGAGCATTTGGTTCACTATATCCGGGATTTCACTATAAGCCGTGTTCACTATAGCGGGGTTTGACTGTATTTTAGCAAATTCAAGAAGCTTAGGGAAAGTGGAAAATTGTTTTCCAGATTATTTCTGGTTAATTTTGCTGTCAGTTTTCAAAAAATTAAAACAAGGATACCAATATCATTTGGGTTTGCAAAGTAATTCAAGAATAAGTTTTTAATCATATTCTCCCGTTAAATTTAAAAATACTTAAAAATAACCAATATTTTAAAAAAAAAAGATTTTTAAATCATTAATTTAAATTTTAGTTGAAGTAATAAAAATATTAATAAAAATGTGAAGGAAAAAAAAATTTAATTTTTGAATAACTAATTTTTTCCAGGAAGAAAGAACCTTTATTCCTTTAGAGCAAGTAAAAACACTATTTGAACAGTCACCCCTTAGATTTTTTTTCTATTTTTTTAAATGATATTTAATGGCCTTTTTTTGTGTGATTTTTTCCTATAAACTGATGCTAATTAATAACAGTAAAATTTCTTGTACAGATCTTTATCTACTTTTTAAAATCAAATAAGTAATTTAGCCTTTAAAAAGACTAAATAAATGCTGTATACATAAAACAATTTTCTTGGTAATAATAACACAATCAAGCACTGAAAAGAAATACTAGCATAATTAGATAATTTTTTTTTAAAAAAGGGGCTTATAACGTGGACAAGAACAATAAACTATATTTCATATAATTTACCTCGTTCAAAGGATTTATGTTTGTGAACATCACCAGCCTTTCTTTTTGGGGTACTAAATTTAAAAGCTATTCCTTTCTTGGTAATTGCTGAATAATTTAGTGGACTCCATAATCCACTTTTACTTGTGTGGGAGTCGGACCAGTTTTAAATATCATTTGAATCATACTTTTTCAAAGTCTTGACATTGATGTCCCCCATAGCCAATTGGTAAGCTAAATCATTGTCAAGATATCTAAATTACGTTAAAGAACATACTTGCACTATGCTAGAAATAAACACAATAACTTCTGAATTAACTTCTAAAAATAAATCTAAATTTCAGTTGTAAAGTTTAATAAATCAGGCTTTTTAGAACAGAAAGGAGGAATACATGCACTTAGGACTTTTATATTTTATTTATCGTAGTTATAAATATATTTAATAGTTTTTTTTTAACATGATTTTGTCAATTTTTTATCATTTAATATGAGAAATGGAAGTCCTTCGGAAGTTTAGAACAATTGTCTGATTCAAGTAAATGTAGGAGTTTTTTCATTTTTAGAATAATAGTCAAAACCTAATATAGCGAACTATCTGAGATCCCAGCAATAAGTCCACTACAAATAATAGCATGTGAGAGTAGTATAGTTAAAAATAATAATTGGGATAGTACATAATTTGCTAATAAATTAGACTAATTAAACAGACAAGAATTCCTTCAAATATAAAAAAAATTATTACTTAATGATTAAAGCTTGATTTTATTTTCAGATTGCGTGGAAGAAAATAGTGATTTAGATATATATATATAAGTTAAAAATATAGAGAAAACATGAAGAATAACAAAGATTGATTGAAGATAAAGTTATCTTTATTTCCATGCTTTCTTTATATTTGTAACTTATTTCATGAGTTCTATATATTCGTAGCTTATGCACAGTAAATAAAACTTATTAATTTTCTTTTTTTTTTATCCTTTTATCCTGTATGTATATATATATATATATATATGTGTGTGTGTGTTGCATACGCCGTGTGGCGCCATTTGTAGTAGAACAGGCTCTCTTCACACACTCTCACGAGACGGCAACAGGGAGAGAGCTCCGAAAGATGTTCTAACTATAATTGTTTTGTGTTGTCTTTTTGTGTTTCCTTATTTGATTTTAATGATTTTTTCTTTATTTTATTTTATTTTAAATGTAATTCTCCTAGATTACTTTGAAGCTATTCCTCGACACTCCCCGTCCGTAACACACATACATATAATATATGTACGTGTGTGTGGGAAAACATTCCTAATTTTGGAAAATTTTCAAAAACTAATTGAAAACTAGAAAAATTCTTGATTGAGCTAATATAACTGTCAAAATTAGGCAGTTTCCTGGATTTTTTTTTATTAAACTGACATCTATGAATATGGTATTATATTTGGAAGAAAATTACATTCAACTGGATAAAAAAAAAAAAAAAATCACAAGGAAAAGTCCATTTACTGACAAAAAAATTTAATTACTATTACTAATTTAATTAAACTTACTATTTGCTAATATAAGAATACATTAAAATCAAGTAATCAATCAAATCAAATATAAAACACAATTTTGGAAGGCAATATTAAACCACATTCAGAAATGGAAGTTTTATATCAAATTAACGTTAGAAGGATACTTTCCAGCATATTCCATATCATCAGGGTTTACTCCTTCTGGATACGGATTAAGAGGAACAAGACACTTTTTTCTAGGACAGAAAACTAACTGGTACAAAAATGTGTTATCAGCTTTGATGAAAGAGTCTTTATAATCTTCAGACACTGATAGTTTGGGCATCTTTAGATAACTGGGCAATTTAGATAATATCTAAATATTAAAAGCATATTTTAGTTCATTTCAACAGAATAACATTAAAAAGCAATTTCAGCGAATCAAACACAAAAATATTTTAAATTATCAATATTCATTATCACACATAGTATGAATGTAAATATTTCAAAACTAGGATTAACCCACTGGCGGTTAAGGAAATGGGCAAAATTGGGAGAATGTTTCTCCCCTACACACAGTTCCCCTATCAGTTAACATGGGAAAACCGGTTTTGCTATGCAGAGAAGACTGCAGGTTAAAATGCGACTTTTTACGTGCAGAACCGTCAGTGGG